CCCTAAAGTACTCTGAGCATAAGTCTCATGCTCATCTCCTTCAAAAACAATACCTTGCTCTGCTGAGTCAATTAGACTCTGTACTTCTGCATTATTGCTTAAAAACTTTCTTAAATTAAATCCTCCTTTGGCAAATATATCTTTTGAATCTTTATAAAGAGAAAATGCTTCAGAAACATTATCAGCACCAGTTATGACATCGTCCACATAAATAGAGTCTTTAATCTTCTGAATTAGATCTGGATACCTCGACTCAAAGGTGCTTAAGTGCTGAGCAATGGTGGCATTGAGAAGGTATGGGCTTGGAGCTACACCAAACACCACACGTGTGAACTTATAAATCTGAAGCTCAGGATTCTCACAAAAAACATCTTTATACCACAGAAAACGCAAAACATCCTGATCTACATCTGCCACCTGAATCATAAGAAAGGCTTTCTCTATATCAGCCACAATAGCAATAGGCCACATCCTAAATCTCAAAAGAATATCAAAAACCTTTTAATGCAATGAAGGTCCTATATGGAGGCAATTATTCAATGATGGACCGTTAGTCTTAGCAGAGGCATCGTATACAATTCTTAATTTTGTAGTAGACTTATCCTGTCTCAACACACAATGATGCGGTAAATAGTGTATACGAGCCACACTGCATTCTTCAGAGTTCTCAACAGGGACAATAATTCCCAAGGCTAGTTGCTCTCTAATGATATCATCATACTTCTTCAATAACTCAGGAGAGCTCTTCAGGCGCTTAAACAAACCACTCAATCGACGTAAACAAAGCTGATAGTTATCAGCAAGAGAAATGCAAGAGTCTTTCCAAGGCAGGGAAACAACATACTTGCCATTAGCAAACTTCACATGATCACCAAATTGAGTTTGCACTAAATTCTCATCTTCCAAAATTCCTAAAGATTCTAGCTCCCAAAATGAACGTAATCTATGTTCTAGGCTCATGTCTTCATGGACACCATCAACCCTTAAAACATGGGTGACCATAGTAGCACTCCGTGCACTAGACTGTTTCACAGCAGCAGTACCAGATAAAATCCAGCCAAAGCATGAGTTTAGAGCAACAGGCCCATTGCTACTCTTCATTATCTCACCTGTAAGTAGAGACCAATACTGGTCAGATCCAATTAAGATGTCTGGCTTTATCTGCTTGCAATGATCCAATGGAATAGAAAAGTCCAAATTATTCAGATGAGGATACTTATTCAAATCTATGGCTTCATACGTCAAAGGCTCACAAATGTGGCTAACTGTGAGCAGCTTAAGCTCCATATGAGCATTATTTTTAAGCTCAAGACCCAGTTTTACAACATGGCATTCAGTACGACACTCCCTTCTAGACCCAAAGGTCATTATAGAAACTGATTTAGTGCCCAGAGATGGCAATCCCAACCTCTGGCATGCACTTCGAGTAATATATGAGCACTGGCTCCCACTGTCCAATAGGACATATAAAGACATTCTATTACCAGGCTCATTTAGATTGAAGGCAAAGACGCGTGCCACTTGCAAGAGAGTAGACTCTCTAGAACTAGTATAGAATGTGGCACCCGTATTTGATCCTTCAAATGGAGGGGTCTCTGGATTAAGCCCCTTAGACAAATGTGGGGAAGCACCATCTCTAGCAGTAGGAGGCCTCTGGCCTGATTTAGGCTTTGAGTTCCTCATACATACACTAGAGTGATGTCTCCCTCTACAAGTAGCACAGCTCATTGAAGAGCGACAGTGCTTACTAAT